ACGTTGGTGTTTCGCTCTATTTTGTGGCCAGAATTTGTTTTGTACTCTGATGAAGATTTAATTTCCTCATGTTTACCATATCTGAGTAATTGAAATTTCTCATCGTTGAACTTCATATTTGTTTTCTGCAGCCCACTGAAAGATTTGGTTGATGTCCGCCTGGAGCCTTGCAGTGTCTGCAATGGAAGACACTGTCATGCAGATTCGGGTGTCATCTGCAAAGGAAGACACGGTGCTGTGGCTGACATCCTTGTCTATGTCGGATATGAGGATGAGGAACAAGATGGGAGCTAGTACTGTGCCTTGTGGAACAGAGCTTTTCACCGTAGCTGCCTCGGACTTTACTCTGTTGACGACTACTCTCTGTGTTCTGTTGTGAGGAAATTATAGATCCATCGACCAACTTTTCCTGTTATTCCTTTAGCGCGCATTTTGTGCGCTATTACGCCATGGTCACACTTGTCGAAGGCTTTTGCAAAGTCTGTATATATTACATCTGCATTCTTTTTGTCTTCTAGTGCATTTAGGACCTTGTCGTAGTGATCCAGTAGTTGAGACAGACAGGAGCGACCTGTTCTAAACCCATGTTGCCCTGGGTTGTGTAACTGATGGGTTTCTAGATGGTGGTGATCTTGCTTCTTAGGACCCTTTCAAAGATTTTATGATATGGGATGTTAGTGCTATTGGTCTGTAGTTCTTTGCTTGTTGCTTTACTGCCCCCTTTGTGGAGTGGGGCTATGTCTGTTGTTTTTAGTAACTGAGGGACGACCCCCCGTGTCCATGCTCCCTCTCCATAGGATGGAAAAGGTTCGTGATAGGGGCTTCTTGCAGTTCTTGATGAACACAGAGTTCCATGAGTCTGGCCCTGGGGCAGAGTGCATGGGACATGTCATTTATCGCCTGTTCGAAGTCATTTGGCGTCAGGATAACATCGGATAGGCTTGTGTTAATCAAATTTTGTGGCTCTCTCATAAAAAATTCATTTTGATCTTCGACTCTCAGTCTGGTTAGCGGCTTGCTAAAAACTGAGTCATATTGGGACTTGAGTAGCTCACTCATTTCCTTGCTGTCATCTGTGTAGGACCCATCTTGTTTAAGTAGGGGCCCAATACTGGGCGTTGTTCTCGATTTTGATTTGGCATAGGAGAAGAAATACTTTGGGTTTCTTTCGATTTCATTTATAGCTTTTAGTTCTTCCCGCAATTCCTGGACGACAACCAATACTATTCATGATGAGCTTGGTGCCTGGACGACAACCAACACTATTCATGATAAGCTTGGTGCCTGGACGACAACCAACACTATTCATGATAAGCTTGGTGCCTGGACGACAACCAACACTATTCACGATAAGCTTGTTGCCTGGATGACAACCAACACTATTCATGATAAGCTTGGTGCCTGGACGACAAGCAACACTATTCATGATAAGCTTTGTGCCTGGACGACAACCAACACTATTCGTGATAAGCTTGGTGCCTGGACGACAACCAGCACTGTTCATGATAAGCTTGGTGCCTTGATGACAACCAACACTGTTCATGATAAGCTTGGTGCCTGGGCGACAACCAACACTGTTCATGATAAGCTTGGTGCCTGGACGACAACCAACACTGTTCATGATAAGCTTGGTGCCTGGACGACAACCAACACTGTTCATGATAAGCTTGGTGCCTTGATGACAACCAACACTGTTCATGATAAGCTTGGTGCCTGGACGACAACCAACATTGTTCATGATAAGCTTGGTGCCTTGATGACAACCAGCACTGTTCATGATAAGCTTGGTGCCTTGATGACATCCAACACTGTTCATGATAAGCTTGTTGCCTGGATGACAACCAACACTGTTCATGATAAGCTTGGTGCCTTGATGACAACCAACACTGTTCATGATAAGCTTGGTGCCTGGACGACAACCAACACTGTTCATGATAAGCTTGGTGCCTGGACGACAACCAACACTATTCATGATAAGCTTGGTGCCTGGACGACAACCAACACTATTCATGATAAGCTTGGTGCCTGGACGACAACCAACACTATTCATGATAAGCTTGGTGCCTGGACGACAATCAACATTGTTCATGATAAGCTTGGTGCCTTGATGACAACCAGCACTGTTCATGATAAGCTTGGTGCCTTGATGACATCCGACACTGTTCATGATAAGCTTGTTGCCTGGATGACAACCAACACTGTTCATGATAAGCTTGGTGCCTGGACGACAACCAACACTGTTCATGATAAGCTTGGTGCCTGGACGACAACCAACACTGTTCATGATAAGCTTGGTGCCTGGACGACAACCAACACTGTTCATGATAAGCTTGGTGCCTGGACGACAACCAACACTATTCATGATAAGCTTGGTGCCTGGACGACAACCAACACTATTCATGATAAGCTTGGTGCCTTGACGACAACCAACACTGTTAATGATAAGCTTGGTGCCTGGACGACAACCAACACTATTCATGATAAGCCCACTACTTGGACCTGTTGTAACAAGACTTTGTCGCCAATACAAAGAACGACTAAGAGCACTTAGAGTTGTGGCAGGGCTTCACCCCAGGTATGGTGCTAATGTTAAAATTGTGAAAATGATGTATCTTGCTTATATTAGATCATTGGTTGATTATGCTGCGCCACTACTTGCTCTTGTGTCTGACTGGAAGCTTGGAGGGCTGGAAAAACTGCAGAACGAAGCAATGAGGATCATCCTAGGATGCCCTCGTACTGCCAAAATTTTAAATATGCAAAAAGAACTTGATATTCCAAGCATCAGAGATCGTGTTACTGAAAGAAATATCCTAATTGGGGTTAATATGCTCAGGCAAGCTCATTCAAACCCCTGCACAGAAGCCCTCCAAACTTTCCTCAGCACTGTGAACACTCCTCCAGATGGATCGAAAAGACTGGAACCGACCTCCGCATGAATCAGATACATGATCTATGTCAAGTAAGGCAACAGCGGCACTTCTCCGCTCCATGGAATATTACCCCATTCCAAACTACCATTCCTCCATTTCCCCCCAAACTACTTCTTAAATCACAACCAAAACTTCGCCTTGAAGCCGAACATGAGGCCTTAAGCGTATTGATAACTTAGTCACACAGCACACACTCTCGCAAATTATTTACGTTGATGGTTCTGTTCACCAATCCACTGGTGCAGCTGGTAGTGCTGCTGTTGTCGTACAGAGTGATGGCTCTCTTAAAGAAATTGGAGCACGCATCAATAATTGGGCCTCTACCCTTCAGACAGAACTGTTTGCCATACTCCTTGCACTGAAATGCATCTATGTATCAAAGATTGACAGTTTAATTGTAACTGATTCTCTGTCATCCATAAATGCTCTCAACTCATTAAGCATAAATTGTGGCATGCTTGTGTCAGAAGCCAGACACAGGTATGGTAGGATTGTGGACAGTGGAGTCAGAGTGCACATGCTGTGGATTCCATCTCACATTGGTCTTCAGATGCATGATAGAACTGATAAATTGGCTAAGCTGTATGCTTTCAAAGAGGGAGTAGATTACAATCTTGGCTTGTCAGGTAGTAGTTTGAGAACAATAATACGAAAAGAACTTCAGCTGAATTTTATGGACTTAAGGCTCAGGGAGATTGACACCAGTGAGTCCATCTATCATCATTCTATCATGCAGGAGGAGCCACATGTCTATGGTGCATCCAACAAAATAAGCAGACTCTTGGATGTCACTACCGCCCGGCTCCGGCTGGGTTACAAGTATCTTTGGCAGGTTAAATCACCACCACCAGATGTAGACCAAACGAAATGTAAACTTTGCCAGATGGATTATTGTCACACCCTGCGTCATTATTACTGGAGTGCGATAAAATTAATGAATTTAGAAACAACTCACTCAGAAGGTTTCAAGAAATGGCTAAGTATTTTATCCACAGTGGTATAATTACAGACCATTCTGGAGAAATACCCTGACTTTGCTAGCTGTAAATAAAGCATTACCACATGTGTGCATGTGTGTGTGTGTGTGTTGTGTGTGTGTGTGTGTGTGTGTGTGTGTGTGTGTGTGAGTATAGATGTGTGTGTGTATGAGTGTGAGTGTGTGTATGAGTGTGTGTGAGTATGAGTGTGTGTGCGTGTGTGTATGAGTTTGTGTGTGTGTGTGTGTTGTGTGTGTTTATGTGTGTGTGTGTATGAATTTGTATGTGTGTGTGTGTGTGTGTGTGTGTGTGTGAGAGAGAGAGAGACTCAGCAATCAACATTTGCACCAATAACTCACTACAGTTGTGACCGGGTGTGGAAGTGTGAATTGCTCATTACTCTAAAATTTGTTCATGATTGCAGCCATGTATAAACGTAAGTAACCATTCTTACAGTATTCATTACCTTTGTAACTTGTGAGTTCATTACCTTTGTAACTTGTGAGTTCATTACCTTGTACCTAGTTCAGCCATCAAAACTTTGGAGCCCGGTCCCTGGACCCATTGTGTACCTCTGTAATCTGTAAATACCTTTGTAACTTGTAATGATTGTGACTAGACCTACCTGGAGTTCATTACCTTTGTAAATTGTGAGTTCATTACCTTTGTAAATTGTGAATTCATTGCCTCTGTAACTTGCTCAGCTATCAAAACTTTGAGGCCCAGTCCCTGGACCCATTATGTACCTCTGTAATCTTTTGACTACCGCCCACAGGATGGGTATGGGGTGCATAATAAACATATTAAACTAACTAACTAACTCATGATAAGCTTGGTGTCTTGACGACAACCAACAAACTCACACTCATTACCGAAGTCTTTCTACCTAGTGGTCTGAAAAAAGAAGCTGATGATATTCAGTTGAACAAAAAGACAAAATACACACACTGAAAGAAATAAGGAGATATAAGTTCTTACATATACTGTATATACTTCTTGACAGCAAACTATTATTATTATTATTATTATTATTATTATTATTATTATTATTATTATTATTATTATTTTTATTATTACACTGAACACTAACCTGAAGACATAGAGCATTGCAGAGGTTGGGACGTGACTCGCCTGCTCAACGTAAGCTGAGTAATGTTGTACTTGACCTGCGTATTCGTCCAGTTCTGCATCCTGACTCAAGAAATCATCCACTTGGCACCTTACTTCTCCATTCAACACAGACGACCACTCGCTCGCTTCACAAGAAATTAAAAATAATCATTGAACTGACTGGAGTCCAATCCCTGGAACTATTAAAATTCTCTATTTTAACATCCTATTGTAGTGTATAAAAGGTAACAGTTAACCAGTTAAACCAGTAACCAGACGTGAGTCCTGGAGTGGTTTAATACAACATCTGTACTCTGAAGGAAGGGTCACCATGTTGCAGTTTGGAGTGTCATGTGAATATATTTCTGGCACTACAGCGAAAAATATATGATGGTGAATTTGTTTCCTCTATTTTTGTGGAGGGAGAGGGAGTCCCTTACCTTGATAAATATCATTTTTGTAGAGGGGGAGGGAGTCCCCTACCTTGATAAATATCATTTTTGTGGAGGGGAGGGAGTCCCCTACCTTGACAGATATATTTTTTGTGGATGGGAGGGAGTCCCCTACCTTCATAGATATCATTTTTGTGGAGGGGGAGGGAGGGAGCCCAAACCTAGATTGATATCATTTTTGTGGAGGGGAGGGAGTCCCCTACCTTGACAGATGCAATTTTAGTATCTTTCAAGGTAGGTAGAGATAAGATGAGGAACTAGACACTTGGGCAACATCTCAGTATCTTTAGTGGGAGATGTTTCACCAAGCATTGTCTTTAATTCAATACAGATATGATACACGAAGATAGTAAAGTAAAAGTATTCAGTCTCTTAACGTTGTAGACCTATACACAGAATGTAGTAGAAGATGAGGTAATATTTATCTCAGTCTACAAACAGGTGTTCACTACCTTAGTCTGGATCATCTGTAATGATGGTACTAAGTAATAACGATACAAAGTAATGATGATACAAAGTATTGATGGTGCTAAGTAATGATGGTGCAAAGTAGTGGTGATACTAACTAATGATGGTGCTAAGTAATGATGGTACTAAGTAATGATGGTACTAAGTAACTATGGTACTAAGTAATGATGGTACTAAGTAATGATGGTACTAAGTAATGATGGCACTAAGTAACTATGGTACTAAGTAATGATGGTACTAAGTAATGATGGTACTAAGTAATGATGGTACAAAGTAATGATTGTATTAAGTAATGATGGTAACAGTAATGGTGGTGCTAAGTAATGATGGTACTAAGTAATGGTGGTACTCAGTAATGATGGTACTAAGTAATGATGGTACTAAGTAATGATGGTACTAAGTAATGGTGGTACTAAGTAATGATGGTGCTAAGTAATGATGGTACTAAGTAATGATGGTGCTAAGTAATGATGGAGTAATGATGGTGCTAAGTAACGATGGTACTAAGTAATGATGGTACTAAGTAATGATGGTACTAAGTAATGATGGTACTAAGTAATGACAGTACTAAGTAATGATGGAGCTAAGTAATAATGGTACTAAGTAATGATGGTGCTAAGTAATGATGGTACTAAGTAATGATGGTACTAAGTAATGATAGTACTAAGTAATTAAAATGCTAAGTAAATGATGGTGCTAAAGTAATATGGTGCAAAGTAGTGGTGAACTAACTACTGATGGTGCTAAGTAATGATGTACAAATAATGATGGTACTAAGTAACTATTACCTGGAGAGAGTTTCGGGGTCACGCCCCCGCTGCCCGGTCTGTGCCCGGTCCTCCTGGTGGATCAGCGCCTGATCAACCGCATGTCAGCTGGTGCACGCAAACCAACGTCCGAGCCACAGCCCGGCTGATCAAGAACTGCCTTTAGGTGCTTGACCGCATGCCAGCTTGAAGACTGCCAGGGGTCTGTTGGTAATCAATCCCCCTTATTGCTGGGAGCAGCTGAACATCTCGGATCCCCTGACACTTTATTGTATGGTCTCTTAACGTTCTAGTGACACCCTGCTTTTCATTTGGGGGGATGGTGCATCGCCTGCCAAGTCTTTTGCTTTCGAGTGAGTGATTTTCGGTGTGCAAGTTTCGGTACTAGTCCTCTAGGATTTTCAGGTGATAAAATCATGTATCTCTCCCTCCTTACGTTCCAGAATACAGATTATAGGAAACCTACAAGCGCTCCCAGTAATTGAGGTTTTTATCTCCGTTATGCGCGGCCGAGAAAGTTTCTCTGTACATTTCTAGTCGCAACTTCCACCTGCCTTGAAGGTGCTGTTAGAGTGCAGCAATATTCCAGCCTAGATAGAACAAGTGACCTGAAGAGGTCATCATGGGGCTTTGCATCCTATTTATTTGAGAGTTCTCATTATCCATCCTGTCATTTTTCTAGCAGATGCGATTGATACAATGTTATGCGGTTCCTTGAAGTGAGATCCTGCCGACAAAATCACGTCCCAGTCCTATTGACGTTTGGTGTTTTCGTCTCTAATTTTAGTGGCAGAATTTGTTTTGAACCTGATGAAGTTTTATTTTCCACATGTTTTACCATATCTGAGTAATTGAAATATTCTCATCGTTGAACTTCAATTGGGTTTTCTGCAGCCCACTGGAAAGGTTTGGTTGATGTCCGCCTGGAGCCTTCAGGTCTGCAATGGAACGACACAGTCATGCAGATTACGGGTGGCATTCCTGCAAAGGGAGATCACGGTGCGTGGCTGACACCTTGTCTATGTCGGATATGGAGGATGAGGATCAAGATGGGAGCTAGTCCTATGCCTTGTGGAAACAGAGCTTTTCGAACCGTATGCTGCCCTCGACTTTACATCTGTTTTGACGACTACTCTCTGTGTTCTTTAGTGAGGAAAATAATAGATCCATCGACCAACTTTTCCCTGTTATTTCCTTTAGCGCGCATTTTGTGCGCTATTACGCCATGGTCACACTTGTCGAAGGCTTTTGCAAAGGTCTGTATAATATTTACATCTGCATCTTTTGTCATCTAGTGCATTTATGACCTTGTCGTAGTGATCCGTAGTTGCTCAGAACGACAGGAGCTACGCTGTTCTAAAACCCATGATTGCCCTGGTTGTGTACCTGTGGGTTTCTAGACTGGGTGGTGATCTTGCTTCTATAGGCCCCTTCAAAGATTTTTAATGTATGGGATGTTAGTGCTATTGTTCCCATGTTCTTTGCTGTTGCTTACAGCCCCTCCCCTTTGTGGAGTGGGGCTATGTCTGTTTGTGTTGTAGTAACTTGAGGACGACCCCGTGTCCATGCTCCCACTCCATTAGGATCGGAAAAAGCTCGTGATAGGGGCTATCTTGCTGTTCTTGATGAACACAGAGTTCCCATGAGCTGGCCCTGGGGCAAGTGCATGGGCATGTCATTTATCGCCTGTTCGAAGTCATCTTGGCGTCAGGAAAGAACATCGATAGGCTATGTGTTAATCAAATTTGATGACTCTCTCATAAAAAATTCATTTGATCTCGACTCGTCAGTCTGGTTAGGCGGCTTGCTAAAAACTGAGTCATATTGGGACTGAGTAGCTCCATCATTTCCTGCTGTCAACTGTGTAGACCCATCTTGTTTAAGTAGGGGTCCCAATACTGACGTTGTTCTCGATTTTGACGTTTGGGATAAGGAGAAAAATACTTGGGTTTTCTTTCGAATTCCTTTATGGCTTTTAGTTCTTCCCGCATATCCTGGACATCTCTAAAGGATTACTTTTAGCTTAAGTTCGATGCTTGCTATTTCTCAGCACCATGTCGCTCCCTGGCGCATTTCTGATATATTGACCTCTTTTAGCCGCTCTGTTATGTCTTTTCCCGTCGCCTGTAAAGGGAGTGCGCCTGTCTCTTCTTTCTATTTTTACATCTACTCCAAGCCTTTTTCTTAGAGGAATATAGCCTTGTGCATACCATCGAGTGCCACCGAGTTAATCCTAGTACTACGGCATAAGTTTGGGTCTGTAGTTGCTTGTAAATCTTCCAGCTTAATATCGGATAGACTTGTTTACCTTGTCCCTCTTTATGTTTTTGGTTATTGAAGTTGAATTTGGTGCATGCTCCCCTCGTGACTATTCAACATTTTGTCGGTCTGAGGCACCACGCATACATTTCTGCACCTACAATATGTTGTGATCTGAGCTATATTTTTTGATATGGTGCCATTCTTAACAGATCCATGTGATAGTGAAAGATGAGGTCTAGTGTATTCCTCCAGTCTAGTAGGCTCCTTATTAATTGCTGCATTATTAAATTGAATTTGTGGCAGTAATTTTAAAAGCTCGGTGAGTGTGCGTTTTCACCAGAGCTGCCTCCTGTGTCATAATACTGCAGACAAAAATTATTTGCATAAATCTCCTCCATTTTATGCCTTAAGTTTAAATCCCCCAGGAGCAAGATTTGGGTCAGGAGCTGAATAATAGATATCCAGACAGTGTCAATTTTAAACACTGTTCCTGAATAGTCTGTATGATGCATCCGAGGCTTGTAGCCTACCACAATGACTTAGGTTTTGAGGTTCCTCCGACTGTACTGCTAAAACTTCCAGCTATTCTACGTCATTTAGGCATTAAGCAGTTCTGTGCAAACAATTACATCTCTGCAATGTACAGGCCAACCCCCCCCTTTTTGCCTTGTCACTCTGTCACATCTGCGATAATCGTTTTGTAACCTGGGATCCAGATGCTCGTTGTCCAAGTGATCCTGTTATGTGGTCTCAGTGAAAGTCCGCGAACAATGACCTGTTGCCTCTGCAAGCAGTCCACGGATGAAAGGAATTTTTGTTGTTTATTGCGGGCTTTAGACACCCTGTATATTTGCAAAGAAGAATGTTATCGGACAGGGTATTGTTGTACTGGGGGGTGATTTTTCCGGCATTAGTATCTGTATCCTGTTGGTTGGAGTGGAGGAGCCACGACAGTGGTTCCACTCCAGAATGAACTGGATTTGGTGTACATTTCTGCCATTTCCTTCAGTTTTATTTTCCTTCTGGCATCTAAAAAACCCTCTCTCCCTCTTGAGTGGCAGTGGCTACCCACGGTTTTCCCCCATGAGCCTGTGATGTTTTTGTATCTTTTTGTTCCCCTTTAGATGGTATGCCTGGCAATTTAAGTTAAAGCACCGTCTTTCCTGTACTGACGAGTACACATATTCAGGGTGAAAA